ATGAATATATGAATAAACAAAGATATTCAATGAAGTTATGTGTTTAACTTGAAAAACTGAAAACAATCTAAATATCAAAAGTTAAGGTTACTGGAAAGTAAATTATGGTTCATTCACATGAGAGTACAGTGCCATAAGGAATTATTTATAAAGAGGTTTTGATGAAGAAAATACTCATGATAAAATATTAAGAAAAAAAAATCCCACAAAAATGTTTGCTTTCGACTGTTCTAAAATTAGCTAAAAAAAGATTTGAAGTTAAAAAAAAAACCATAACTACTAAAAGCATTTTTTGCTACATTTTCCATACTGGCACGTTTGTTTAATACATACATAGAACAATTGTGTCAGTTTCTATTATTTTTCATTATTACTATAAATTTGTATGGAGGTTCCTGAGCAATATAATAAATTTATTCTTTTTGTAAAAAGTTAAATAAACAATAAATCATCAGAAGATCTCTACTCATATCTGGGCTGGCTCCTAAATTAATATGGGCAAATCACAAACTTTAGAAATGGCTTTTTAGATAAGTATTGATGAAGTAAAACTAGAGTCTGAAGGCAAATAAAATATTCTTTTGGATTTTTCTTTTCTTGCCTTTACATTTGATTTGCATACTGTTTCCATTATTGTATCACTGTATTTGTTTACAATTTTAAAAAACACTTTTAATTTAATTTCCTCATATCCCATTGTTGTTCTTCTATCTTCCCAAACTTAAGTGAAACATGAAAGCAGTAACTTTCAGCGTAGGTTAATGAAGCATAAGTGAGGTGGGGCTACCGTCCAAATTTCTGGATTAGCCAGAGTCGGGCAGACAATCATGGTGGGATTCAGAACATACAAGTAAACAACTACTCTTTGGCCGCATTTACAGCCAATCTTCTAAAGAGGCTACTGTGTTTTGGTGGCTCATCTTACTGATCTCTCATTTAGTCTACAAGTCTCTGCGTGCAATAAGGCTCCTGCCTACTCCATTCCCATGGAAAGCGTTCTGACAGAGAGTATCAATGATGTCAGTTGTTATTACACTGTTATTACTGGCTCCTCTTCTTCCACCCACTCCTTTAACACCTATGTGCCCCAGGGATTCACTGTGGTTCACCACTATTCTCCCTCTGTAGAATTCTCAAGGTTCTAACTACTCTCCGACCAAATACAGAACTCCAGATATCGCCCTAGAGCTTTAGACTCCATATCCAACTTCTACACAGATGACCCATTACTCACCTTAAACTCAATATGCTGAACACTAAACATACCATCTTTGGTGGCTCCCCATTGTTTATAAAATTCAAGCCACCCCTTGATCTGGCTTCACCCTATTGCTTCAGCTCATCCTCTGCCGTTCATATTCATTTTTCTGAAAGCCTGGTAAAACAAAATCACCACCTAGTATTTACTGAGGGCCCATTAAATACCAGGCACTATTTAAGCACTTTATATGATTAACTCATTAATCTTCACAGCAATCCCATAAGGTAGATGCTATTCTTTTCATTTTATGCTAAGGAAAGTATCTTGCCTAAGCTACTAAATAGTACAATCAGTATACAAACCTACATCCTGTGCTCCTTACTTTTATACTATGCACTTTTTCATAAATGCCTATATACTGTCCAATGCCAAGCACTGTCCTGGGGATTCAAGGTAAATATGACAAAAAAGACCCACGTCCTCATGGGACTCCTATTCTATGAAATAAATGGAACAAACAAAAAAAACATACTGTAGATTAAACAATTCCAGGAGAAAATAAAAAGGATTTTATGACAGAAAATTCACTGAGGTGGCCCTACTTAACGGTAATGAAAGAAAACCTCCCTGAAAAATGACTTTTAAGGTGAAACCTAAAGGATGAGAAGGTACCAACTATGTAAAGTGAAAGGGTATAACTGGACAAGAACTGGGCCCTTACAAAGCACAAAAATGGTACTATGGACTGAACGATGTTCTCCAAATATTCATATACTGAAGCCCTAATCCCCAATGTGACTGTGTTTGGAGACAGCGTGTTTAAGAAGTAATTAAGATTAAATGAGGTCATAAGGATGGGCCCTAATCCAACAGGGCTGGTGTCCTTATAAGAAGAGGAAAAGACACTAGAGACTTCTCTCTCTCCGCAAGTGCACAAAGAAGAAAAGCCATGTGAGGACACAGTGAAAAGACACCTGTCTACAAGTGAGGAAGAGAGGCCTCACCAGAAACCAACCCTGATGGCACCCTGATATTGACTTCTAGCCTCCAAAACTGTGAGAAAATAAATTTCTGTTGTTTAAGTCATCCAGTTTGTGGTATTTTGCTATGGCAGCAAAACCAAACAAATACAAATGGGAAAGACTGAAGTGTGTCATAGGAACTGACAAAAAATAGTGTGCTGGAATACAGAGAGCAATGGAGATAATAATATGTCAAAGACTCTTAAGTCCACAGATGGTAGATGAACCAGAAATAAAGTGATCGCAAAACCTGTCCCTGGTGCAGGAGTTTTAAGGTGGTTGATACTGAATTTGGAAATGTATGGTGTGGGTTTTTGTTCTCTCAGTGACTGGGAGTCACTAACATACAGTGGCTAGAATATAATAATCTATATTCCACCCTGGAATGCACAAAACAGCCCATACAGCAAAGAGCTGAACTCGTCCCAAAATGTTAATAGTGCCCTATTGAGGAACAGTGGCTAATAGTATGTTTGGTTTACTCAGGGGACTACAGAACACCAAGATTTAGCCTTTTTTGGTAGTTTTTACACCACTAAGGTTAGTTTTGAGCTAATTCTGGTGAATTAATAATTATGTGTTGTGCCTATGCACAAGGAATGGTGTTGGATACTCTGGGGCATACCCACAGGAATCGAACACCAATCCTAGGTCGAAGAGCCACAGTAAGGGAGATATGACACCATATTTCAGCAAATCTAAGGCACCGGTGGTTTTAAGATGCATCATTTTACGTACAACTAAAGAAGGTAATACCACCAAGTAAATTACAAAATCAACTGTAAGATACACCCTAATTTCAGAGCTGTTACGATGTTAAAAAAAATATACATCTTAAATAAATGAAAAAGAATATGAAAACAAATAGCTAAAATGCAAATAGTAGGAATCATATAAAATAGAAGAGTCTACAGCGGGAAGGAGTTTAGGTCTAGAGAAAGAGATGTGAACATCATCTAAAAGGAGGTATTAAAAGCCGTAATTTGGATAAAGGCCAAAAGGGAGGCAAGAGGAGGCACCATAAAGACAATTTTTTTTAAGTAAACAGGTATTAAAGCATTTAACTGCTTTACTACAATTAACGGTTTTCATATTTTACAATAATTTCATGCTGATCTTTACCATCACTGCTAATTTTTTTTTTTTTTTTTTTTGCGGTACATCGGCCTCTCACTGTTGTGTCCTCTCCCGTTGCGGAGCACAGGCTCTGGACGCGCAGGCTCAGCGGCCATGGCTCACGGGCCCAGCCGCTCCGCCGCATGTGGGATCTTCCCGGACCGGGGCACGAACCCGTGTCCCCTGCATCAGCAGGCGGACTCTCAACCACTGCGTTACCAGGGAAGCCCATCACTGCTAATTTTAACACTACAAATTTGTAAACAAAAAAAGGCAAAACATAGTGAAGATTAAGAACATGCTCAAGATTGTAAAAAGCAATACAAAAAACAGAGCATCCCATTCATTTCCAATATGGTGTCGAAACCACTTAGACATGCCACTGTGTGTGTGTGTGTGTCTGTTATGTAAACTTAGTCAAAAAGCAAAGGTACACACATCTGAAAGCAGAACCTGAGAGCAACCAAGAAAGTATGATACAACTACATGGAGAATTAATGTTTAAATTCCTAAGTGGTTTTATTATAAACATTCACAGTTACCAGTCAGAGCTATGAAAAACTGCAGTTATATCATAGTATCAAATTGTTTTCTCCTTAAAAAAATTTTTTTGAAGATAATGGGAATATTTAAGTTCAATACTTTTAAATCAGTATTTTTTCAAGTGTTTTTAAATTTTTTTTGTGGTACGCAGGCCTCTCACTGTTGTGGCCTCTCCCGCTGCGGAGCACAGGCTCCGGATGCGCAGGCTCAGCGGCCATGGCTCACGGGTCCAGCCGCTCCGCGGCATGTGGGATCTTCCCGGACCGGGGCACGAACCTGAGTCCCCTGCATCGGCAGGCGGACTCTCAACCACTGCGCCACCAGGGAAGCCCTTTTTCAAGTATTTTTAAAGCATAAAGGCAATCATCTTTGTACATGAAAAAGTATGGTTCCAAGTCACGCATAGGATAAGAAAGAAGAAAATCTATAATTCTCTGGTATTAACACTTAAAGGTGTTATAAATACACCAAATGATTTTAATTAAATTCTATTCATTTTGACTGAAATACCTTCTGACAAACTTCCCCCAAGAGTGGGAGGGTGAGGTTTTGAGGGGAAAAAAAGGAGAAATGGAGGGAGGGAATCCCTCATGAAAAAGAGAATGAAAAAAGAGACAAGAGAAGGAGAGGAGAGGTGACCTATCTGAAGAAATAACTAGCTAACAGAGTAAAGATGGTGAAGACCATCACATTGCCCCAGAACAGATTTCCTGAGTAAAGAGAATGTTACAGCTTTTTGCTAGAAGCTGAGCATGATAAAGGCTCTTGAAAACCATACTGGCTATCTACCTTTACTACAGGGCAGGTATTTTTCTCAAAATACTTGCAAGTCAAAGGAACCTGAGGGGAAACACGAAGACCACCCGTTAGCCAAAGCAAACAGCACACCATCTGCAATCTGTCTAAATGATTAGACAAACTGAGATGGCTGTTATCAAAGTGCATATTAACAGTTTGTCAAAACATGTTCTTGGGCTACTTTATGACTACTTTTTTTACATAAGCAAATTCCCTCAAAGGAAAAAAAGTCCCAATAATTTTCTAAAACTACATGTCATACAATAGAACTGTGGTTAAATTTACAAGTGGCAGGAAAAGTTTTGAAAAATGTGAAATACCTCAGTCTGACCTTCATGGGCACTGGTCTCATGAGTAACTCGAATGGCCTGTAATAAGAATATAAAGTATTAACAGGAACAAATGACTATATCCAACTTTTTAAATGAAAACAACAATGCTAAATTTTAACATCTAAAGCCTTGTTAAGAAACAAATTGGAGGAGATTTTTGGAACAGTTTAACACTAAATATTTAAGAATGATTTCTGAGTAAGCAAATGAATTGCTGTGCTTTCCAACCCTCAAATCTCTGAAACCTTAGGAAACTGAGTATCTGCTTATTTGTAATTGCCAAGGGTAAGTGGGAGTCATTTACCTTATTTAATTGCTGGAACTAACATTTAACACTTTATTCAACTGAGACTAGAATAAAGTAAGCATCTCACAGATAGAGACTGAAGAAGCTTAGCTCATCTGTTTCTCCAGGTTACATGCTGTTCTGCAGCTCTGGCTGTATTTATGCTTAATCATGCAGCTTCAGTCAGCACTTTAGAAATGTGGAGCAAAAGGCATGCATTTATCAGAAGCTAGAGATTTTAGGTTCCTGAACTTAAAAAAAAAAAAAAAAGCTCTTATAATACGCACTATTAACAAAAATGAAGAGAAACAGTCAAAGTAAACTACGGGTGAAAGTACCTTTATGAATGGCAATTTGGCAATAAGTATCAAAGCTCTAAAAACATGCAAACTATTTCGTCCAGCGATTTCTCTTCTAGGAGGTTATATATTTACATATAACTGTACATAATTATATATAACTAATGATATTTGCAAAGACTTAGCTACAATGATATACCTTGTAGTATTTTTTCAAATGGTGAAAAAAAGGGAAAAATATTAAATTTCTGACAATAAAATATTGGTTAAATAAAATACTACACTATGGAAAGCTAGGCAGCCATTAAATGATGATGTCAAATATATACTTACTGGTATGTAATATGTTTGTGATAAGTTATGTGAAAAAAGCAAGTTATAAAACAATATTACAGTGTGATCAAATTTTTGTTTTAAAATATTGTGCATACAATTATATATTCCCTATTAAAAATATAAATGGTGGCTACCTCTCATTGGTGGGATTACTGGTGACTTTTATGTTGTTCATTTTATTTTTATGTAAAATAAAGACGTTTTATGAGATCAGCAGGTTTTTTAAAGAAAATACAACTTAAAATAATCAAAGTATATTAGAATGCTAAAACAACATAATCAAGTCAATGGATTTATTGGGCACAAACTCTGCCTAACACATTGTTCTAGCCAAATAATTTGTACACTATACTGTTTCTAATTTCAAAGAACTTACAATCTACTTAATAATGTCATTAAAAGGTAAAAAGCCTTCAAAAGAAAAATAGATTTCAAATAGAATAAAATGTAAATACCAATCTAAATTCTATGAAAAGGTACAATCATTTAAAACATCTTAGACTATGTGGCCTGTGTCCTCACACATGCAAAAATATTACACTGATAAAATAGCTAGAGAATATTCTAACATCTACCTTTAAACCTTTGTTTTTTCCATTGGTCTTCAGCCTTGTTCCAAATTCCCAGTGAAAGACACACAGGGTATTGCCAAGCATATATTTATTATAGGGAGGGAATGGTAAGGAACAGTCAATCATAAGATATTTTATAAATTGTTAAATCAAATTGCCTTTTTTCTCTTATTCAGCTCTGGACGTAGAAAAGAAGTGGCAATTTATCAACATTTATGAATATTTCAGATAATGTTACAAAAGTACAAAAGGCCTGTTTTAATGGATACAACAAAAATCCATAATTGCATAATATACAGTTTCAAGACAAACCCCCCCAAAAGAATCTACAATCCCAGAGAATTTTGCCCACACATGAGATCAAGACAGAAAAAGGTACCGACGTCATAGTTCTCCAGGTATCTGGCTCGTTCTTCAGGGCTCATTGAAGCAGACTCCTCCAGGAATTTTTTCAAGGTTGATCCAGATTCTGAGAATATTAAAGATGATAAAATTGAAAAGGCTTGCTGTCTCAAAGAGACTGAGATATGAAAATATTAGAAGCATGCTAACTATTACTCAGGTAAAACCCTTTTACTGGTAAGTTAGGAATATAAGAATATTGGGATAAATGATAGGGCTTAAGTGATTTGTTTGTTAAACCTGGGGAGGATTAATATTTCCCCTAACAGTATATACATTCCCATTATAAAAGAAAGAAGGGAGGAAAAGCTTTATTTGATACTTCGAAAGAAAGAACTAGAACACCACCTACTGCTCAATAAGTTAACTTATAACTTAAGCAGGGGGAAGATAGCAGTAATGAAAAATTATTTACCAAAGTGCATCTTGTCTTTGTTGTTGGCAATAGCATGGATTAGTCCAATTGTTCCACAGGCATTGCTGATGGTTTGCTTCATGAAATATACTGATGATGTAACATCTTGTCCCTGAGATTTTATTTTTTCCTCTTCTTCTGTTCTGAATATTTCATACTATCAAAAAAAAAATCAATAGTCTACATGTGAAAATAATACACTAAAAAGGACTTAAATATAAATATGGAAAAACTCTAAATATACATCAATGGGGACTTGGTTAACATGGCATATGTGAATGCAATACTATAAAACATTTAAAAAAGAATAAAATAGATTTACATATTCTGACTTAGAAATCTGTCCATGATTATAGAGTGGTTACAGGCCAGTATATATTAATATGATTCTCATTTATGTTTTAAAAATATTTACTTTATATATGCATTGAAAAGTGTTAAAGGATATAGAAAAACTTAACAGATAAGAGATAAGAGATCTGGGATAAGAGATTACTAGAGGATTTTTACTTTCTATTTTTCACATTTCTATACTGTTACATCATATTATATTAACAAAATTCACACTATATTTATAAGCATATGGTATTCATTAACATTCACCATTATCTATAACAACTGATTGTAAAAACAATATGGTACAATAATGTCAAAAGTGTGGGCTCTACATCTGATTGCCTTAACCCACAACCTGGGTCTGCCATTATTAGCTGTGCAACTCCAACAAGTTACTCAATGTCTCTGTGCCTCATTTTTCCAATTGTAAAAAGCGTTAAAAATAATGAGGTTAAAAAATGGGTGGGGAGAGAAATTAACACAACATTGTAAACCAACTATACCTGAATAAAATAAATATTTAAAAAATTGAGTGAGGATGGGGACTTCCCTGGTGGTCCAGTGGGTAAGACTCCGTGCTCCCAATGCAGGGGGCCCAGGTTCGATCCCTGGTCAAGGAACTAGATCCCGCATGCCACAACTAAGAGCCTATGTGGCCAAAATAAATAAATTATTTAATTAAATAAATTTAAAAACAAAAGTGAGGAGAAGGAAGAGAGTAGGAAGATGATTTTATTGTTTTGTTTATTGTTTTCCTATAATTTTCAGATTCCAATAGAGCAGGGAGCCCTACTACAGCCCACAGGCTACAGGCCAAACCTGGCCCACTGCCTGGTTTCGTAAGTAAAGTTTTATTTTTGTATTGCCTATGGCTGTTTTCATACTAAAAGTCAAAGTTGAATAGTTATAATAGAGACTATCAGGCCTGCAAAGTTGAAAATATTTACTAGCTGACCCTTCACAGAAAAAGTCTGCTGACCCCTGTGATAAAAGAAACAAATGATGTCTATTTAAAACCCATAATTAAGGAACTGCTTTTAACAACAAATGTACCTGTGCCTGAAAAAATAATTTTTATGAATGTGCTCCTAAATCAAATTTTTATTTTTTTAATTTTTTACTATTTTTTATTAGAGTATAGTTGATTTACAATGTTGTGTTAGTTTCTGCTGTACAGCAAAGTGAACCAGTTATACATATACATATATCCAAAATCAAATTTGTAAATATTTTCAGAATAAATTCTGAACCATTAATTCATTCATATAAGTTCAACTGATAAAAACGGAAAAGTTCAATACAGTAAGGTCTCGGGCTGAAATGTTTTGTACAGTCCTAGAGTTTAGTTTGTTATTGTTGTTGCTTAACATCAATGTTCCTTGGTCACAAAGCAAAAGAGTTTGAAGTTATCAAAAACTTATCATAAAGTTATCAAAAAGTTTGATAACTTCTCAAGATTTAAGGTTTAGAAAAGAAATCCTAAAATGATTCAGAGCAAGTATAGGAAAAAGGAAAGTGACTATGTGTTTTCACTGTGGTCTGCCATAATTAAAGACAACAAAAATATCAGAGAGAAATAAATTAATAGCATAAAGCACATTTAAAACACTGTAACTGACTTTATTTAAAAGATAATGAGGTATCCATAACAATTCTTTTGCTACTAGTATGCTGAAGCCATTCACAACTACATAATCAGTTTCTAAATTAGAACTCAGAAGATTGAAACACTTCATATCTCCTAAACCATCCACTAGATATCCTTTGAGTGATTTTTATTATGTCACTTATGAGCTGAAATAGGGACTGACCAAATTGTAAGAGATATCAAAAAGTGGCAGATGCCACTATATTTTCTACTTATATACGTAAGTATAAATACTCATTCCTCACATCTTCCCATTTACTGCATTTTTTACAATGTTGAGTTCATCCTATTATTTCTAAGTTTAAAAATAAAAATCAGAAAGATATAGACTCAAAACTGTTTTAAAATGGCTCCATAATACACATAGCTATAAGATATCATTCTAGAAGGCCTGAAATATGGAGATTTGAATTTAGATACAGAGAGCTAAGAATAGCTATTAATAATCCCCAACATATCCTAAATCTGCCAATTAAATTGTATTTAAGCTTAACGATTCGCACCCAAATCAAGTTTATTCTGAAAATAATGTAACCCATGTCATTAGTTACATCTACCTCCTTAAAACAAAGATTTCTTTATGTATATATTGAAAACATTTACATATTTTATATATTAAAATTTTGAATATCCTTTATTCATATATTTTCTAAGACAGATTTAAGAAGATCCTAGTACTTAACAATTCTAAAGTATACACATGAAATTGTGATTAAATGTCACATCAAAACAGTTGAGGCAAACTAACCATATTTTATAAAAAAAAAAAAAGAAAGAAAACTACCAGAGTTTAAAAGACTCAGGGCTTCTCTGTCAATCTACAAATCAAAATCTAAATACATCTCTTTAATAAAACTAGATTTTTAGGATGTCCCCACTGTCTAGATTTCCTCATTTTATGCAAGAAGGGAGTCATCTGTTCTTAATTCATAGGTTTAATTCAACAGCATAGGTTTAATTCAACATTGAAAGAGAATTCTGCATTTACTGGAAACTATATCTTACTTAACAATTACCTTTTCTGTAATAGGGAAGAGAAGCAACACTGCACACACTGGTCTTGGTACCATGCTAAGGAGTTCAGGATCCATTCCATATACATCAACAAACTGCCAGTTAGGATGTAGACCTAATTGTTTGAGAAACTGGTAAAAAGGGGAAAAAAACCAGTTTAGTGTTAACAGGGAAATAATGTGTAGGTACTGTATATCTGATACATAAAAGAGAATGGAAGGTACAAATATTACTGATGTTCAATAAGAATGAAGTAAAGCAGGTTTTCCATGAATAAGGTAGGAAGAGATAGCAATTTATTTATATCAGTTATCAAACATTTAAAATTTACAAAATATTAAGCAAAACTCCTTTTTTCAAAATCCATTACTTTGGGATGGAACATAAGTCAGGACTTCACCGAACATATACAAGTGGCTTGGTTGGTATCTTAAACTCATTCCCAACATTGGATTTTTAAGGAAATGCATCTAAGTTCTAGTACATAAAGAATTATTTTGGTAGTAAATCAGCATAGTCTACCCTAATTATCAAAAATGATGACTAAGGTTTAAAGACAGATGATAGCTCGATATCACAAGTTTTATCAATGAACAAAGAGTGTATAAGGCCAAAAAAGTCCAAGCAACTTGTGGGAACACCAGGAAATGCTTGATATAAAAAGTAACCTGGGACTTCCCTGGTGGTCCAGGGGGTAAGACTCCACGCTCCCAATGCAGGGGGCCCGGTTCGATCCCTGATCAGGGAACTAGATCCCGCACGCATGCCGCAACTAAGAGCCCACATGCCGCAGCTAAGTCCAGGTGCAGCCAAAATAAATAAATAAATAAATATTTTTAAAAATAATTATATAAAAAATAAAGTAACCTGCCAGCTTCCTGACTTTCAGTACACAATGAAACCCACTCAGTTTCACTGTCTCCCCTACATCTAGCAAAAAAAAAAAAACTGTAACAAAAGAGCAGTGGTTTTTTCAAACTCTTAAGAATTCACAGGGAAATAAAATATCAGACCCTAATCTATTGCAGAGAGAAAAGGAAAAAAGAACATAATAATAAGAATGATGTCAGTTTCACAATAAACTCAATAAATGCCTGTACTGAAGGAAATTGATGGTTTTAAAAAGTTCACCATCACAAAATAAATTTTACATGATAGAAATAAAGGAGCAGAGGAAATAAAAAACATACTAAAAATGTATCATTATTTCTTACTTTGAGAATACATTATAGTATCTACTGGTCTAACATTATCTGAGATTTAAAAATAAAAAGGTGCCTTGGGTATTTTTCCCTGAAGAACGATCACACATACCTAGATCATCAAATGAGATCTTGCAAAACCAATGGAAGCCATGCCCTATTTCATAAACAGTGTTATTCATCTCACAGTCAGGTTCTACAAGACAAGACCTTCCTGATTAAAGGACCACTCTCCACATCCCTCCAATTCTCTGCCTGTAGAAAAAACGCTACTTACTGATAGTATGGTTGGTCAAAAATAAGGTCTTAGATACATTTAATAAGAAATACTCTGGGGCTTCCCTGGTGGCGCAGTGGTTGGGAGTCCGCCTGCCGATGCAGGGGATACGGGTTCGTGCCCCGGTCTGGGAGGATCCCGCGTGCTGTGGAGTGGCTGGGCCCGTGAGCCATGGCCGTTGAGCCTGCTCGTCCGGAGCCTGTGCTCCGCAATGGGAGAGGCCGCAACAGTGAGAGGCCCACATACGGCAAAAAAAAAAAATAAAAAGAAATACTCTGAATTAAAAAACTTCTCTTGGCAGAATGTGCTCAACATCCATAGATTCATCAAGTCACATGCTCTGCAACAGTCTGGGGCCACAGAAATCAATGGACCTCTCTAGTTAATACCTATTCTGCATCTGATTCCTATTAATGATTCCAGACTTTAATAAAGTTCAATGAAGTATTCCAAACTACTTCCCTCTCCCTCCTCCACTTTCTCTGAAATTCTTAGTCTATGCCCTTCTCAATATTCAATTCTATCTAGAAACTAAAAAAGGCCTAAAACTGACTGCAAAGCCAAAGGAAGGAACTGTGTCTTCTTCATCTTTTTAATCCCACTGCCTAGCACTGTACTGGCCAAACCATAGACACTCAAGTTCTATTTGCTGAACTTGCAAGAAATTTGTTGAATTTGTTAAAGATTGTAATAGATAATCTAGCCATCTGTATGTCTACGCATGTCTGTTAAGCTATGTTTATAATGAATATTTTATATATACTTTTTATTTGTGCCAAGTTAAAGAGGTAGGAAAGATACATTTGGCTTCTAATCTAAAACCAGGCATTTATCAGCTCCAAATACTCCAAATACTACCTGCACAGGACTGACAGCTCTAAAAGGCATACTGTCAAGGAAAGGTATCATAAACCCTGATAAAAGAATTCAAATTTATTTGTTAATATTATGTACCCCCAATAGCCATATTGCTATAAAGTTATAAAACAAGAGGTACATGTAACAGAGTAATTTTTACATCTGTGCTGCAAACTGAAAGTAACAGTTAAACATCTTAGTGAAAAAACAGTCTGGAGAAAATTGGCAAATTACCTTGAAGTTGTAAACTTGTTCCATGTCAGCCAAAGCTAAAGAGTATAAAAATTACCAAGCTCCAAAGGCAGCAGTTGTAGCGAGAGTGATTAGTATCAAACTGAGGACACATCAATGATTAAATAGAAGATTAAATTAAATATAAAAAAATGATTAAAATTTAACTGGAATCATACTTTTCCTCAACTTTTTACTCATATAGCCAATCGAATAAAATTGATAAAAAGACGTTCAATTTAACTAATATCTATTAAGTACATCGATGCAACCTCTGACTACAGATTGTTATGGGTCAGACTCACACAGGAAGTCATCATATGCACAGAAAGAATAAAAGAGGCTATGCCTAGTAACTACCTCTGGGCTTCGGAGAAAAGGTGAGGAAGAAAGTCTCCAACTTTTACCTCTCACTTGTTTTTAAATAACAAAGGTATCCTACTTTTATAATTAAAGGAAAAAAAAGAACCTACATGCATTTGTGATGATCATAATCAAATAGAGAAAGATTAAAAAGAAATTCTCTAAAATATTAAATATTAATAGTAGTTAGCTTGGATGGTGTGGAACTCAACTTTTTATCTTCCAGTGTTTTTAAAAAGTGTTATTTTTACAATAGATGTAGTTTCAAAGATACAAATCTACAGAACTGATATGCATGTATTTTCTTTAAATTTACAAAACTGGGATAAAACATAATGCCAGTTTTAAAACTATTCCCAAAAAATCTCTCCAGTCTACTCAAAAAGAAAAGTATTCTATATAGTATAGGCACTTGCAAAGCCATCTCTACACAATTAGAAGCATCCTGTTTGCATCAAATATAATAAAGGGATTTATAACCTTTAATATCTGTCTTCAGGCTTTTTTAAACATTGGGTAATAAAATAACAAAAAATTCTGACTGACTAGCTCACTAAATTTTTATAATGCCACACTAACATTTGGCCTATCAAGAAAAACAATTAGTAAATTAGAATATGTGCCCCAAAAAGATCCTTGGTTAACTTATCCTTTTCAATGGTCCAAAGAGAAAATTTCCACCAGATACAGAATATTTTAATTTATTTGTAAATATTTTAAAATAGTATCTTGTATCAGAAACTATGCTAGGGGGGCTTCCCTGGTGGCGCAGTGCTTGAGAGTCCGCCTGCCGATGCAGGAGACGCGGGTTCGTGCCCTGTTTCGGGAAGATCCCACATGCCGCGGAGCGGCTGGGCCCGTGAGCCATGGCCGCTGAGCCTGCGCGTCCGGAGCCTGTGCTCCGCAAATGGGAGAGGCCACGGCAGTGAGAGGCCCTCATAACGCAAGGAAAAAAAAAAAAAAAAAGAAACTATGCTGGGAACTTTAATGCACTTCACCTTTACTGCAAAGGAGGTTTTATTATTACATCCTTTCACCAGTGAGAAAACTGAGCCTGGGAGGTTCTGTGACTTTTCAAGGTCATGCTGCCAGAACCCACATGCAAAGCTCTGGATGTTCTGGTGCTTATTTACTTGTCTCTCACTGCTTAAAGTATCTTTTTGTACTTTGTTCTCTAATTTTAGCCACAATGAACTCTTCAAGTTCTCAAAGGGTCAATAACCATCTCTTACCTTGCTTTTGCACACAAACTGGACTTCTATCTGAAAAACTGTTAGCCTCTCCCCCTCATTTTTTAAAATTTATTTATTTATTTTTGGCTGTGTTGGGTCTTCGCCTCTGTGCGAGGGCTTTCTCCAGTTGTGGCAAGCGGGGGCCACTCTTCATCGCGGTGCGCGGGTCTCTATCACGGCCTCTCTTGTTGCGGAGCACAGGCTCCAGACATACAGGCTCAGTAGTTGTGGCACACGGGCTTAGTTGCTCTGCGGCATGTGGGATCTTCCCAGACCAGGGCTCGAACCTGTGTCCCCTGAATTAGCAGGCAGACTCGCAACCACTGCGCCACCAGGGAAGCCCTCCTCCTCATTTTTAATGAATTCCTCCTCATTCTTTAGGTGATAGTCAAGTAACAAAAACTCTTAGGTGATAGTCAAGTAACAAAAACTTTAGGTGATAGTCAAGTAACAAAAATTTATGAATACATAAATATATAAAAACAAAAGAAAAATTAAATCTACCTTCCTTTCAAATTTGTTCTTAAGTCACTTGCTCCAGTCTTTAACGGCCAGCTCAGGACAGCAATAGATTCTGCCTTGTTACTAATTTACTAATGATTTGGGTTACGACAGAAATTATACTTATCTAGTAATTGCTTGATATCACTACTAGTAAAAGTATACTAGTAGTAACTGCTAGATGCAGAACTAGGAAAATAACTAATAGTTAAATGAGAAAACAATGGTTTTTAAAGTCTGGAAACCAGCCAAATGAATTTTAATAACTATTTAGTAAACAAACAAAAATGAAATTACTTAAGTACAGAATGGGGAAATACTAAAAACATTTTATATAGGGACCAAGAAAAAAAAGTTTACTTTACTGCAGGCTCAATATGGACTACACAATTGTCAACGTAAGTGATGCAATGCTGATCTGCTTTAAAAGTTGTATTACTCAGGATAATTTAGTAACACGCTATTTC